TGTGCGCAATAAATACTGGCAAGTCCGCAGGTTCTGGGTCTCTGCTCACTAGAAGCTCTGACCTCCCAGGCCTCATCTCATTTACCATCTACCTTTGCCTTCATTCCACATCACATACCTAATCGGGGGTCAGGGGCTTCATTGGGGGTCCCCGATAACCAGTGAATTTCATGAGCATGAGACCATTGCTTTGGCTATGAAGTGCATTTCTTGGTCAGAAGAAATGCTGTGTGGAATACCGTGATGGTGTTTAAGGCATTCTGTAAGTGCATGGATGGTAGTTTTGGCAAAAGTATTATGTGCAGAGAAGGCAAATCTACCCCCAGAATAAGTGTCTATGCCAATAAAGAAAAGGCGCTGTTCTTTCCATGATGGAAGTGGTCAAATATAATCAACCTGTCACCAAGTCACAGGCTGATTACCCTGGAGAATGGTGCCACATCGGGGACTCAGTATTGGTCTGTGCTGATGGTATACTGGGCATTCAGCAGTGGCTGCAGTCAGGCCAGCCTCTGTGAGTGAAAGTCAATGTAGCTGAGCCCACGCATAACCTACATCCCTGCCACCACAGGCACTTTGTTCAGAGCCCATTGGACAATGACAGGGGTGGCTGAGAAAATAATTGACCACCATCCACAGAATGAGTCATCCTATCCACTTGATTATTGAAGTCCTCTTCTACTGAGGTCACTTTTTGGTGAGCATTTACATGGTACACAAATATTTTTACATCCTCTGCCCTATGGAGAGGTCTATCCACATATCTCTTCCCCAAACATCTTTGTTACTAATTTTCCAGTCATGATCCTTCCAAGTTCCTGACCACCTAGCCAGACCATAGGCCACAGCCCATGAATTGGTATATATTACACATCTGGCCATTTTTTCCCAAGAAAATGTATGGCCAGGTGCACTGACCAAAGTCCTGCCCATTGTGAAGATTTCCTTTCACCACTGTGTTTCAGGGATGTCCTGGAAAGGGCCTATAATGCTTCAGCTATCCACTTGTGGGTGGTAACTGCATAATGTGCAGAGCCATCTGTGAGCCAGGTCTTTGTCTTCGCTGCCTCTGTCAGCTGAGCATATGGTACACCTCATGAGGCATAGGCACATGGGAGACAGAAGGCAGTATACCAGGAGTAGGGTCATGGGCATTTGAACAACTGCATCATGTAACTTAACGTGTGTCTTTCAGACCTGCTTGGGCCCCGTCAGGTCTATACAACTTCCCTTTAATGATGGACAGTTGCTGTGCACATCCAACTTTATGACTTGTTGGGTCAGACGGCACCTAGTTCATGATGGGCAGCTCAGGTCACATGGTGACCTGGTGTTCCATGGTCAAGCATTCAGTTTCCACTATGGCCCAGTAGCAGGCCGAGAGCTGTTTTTCTAAGAGAGAGTAGTTGTCTGCAGATGACAGCAGAGCCTCACTCCAAACCCCTAAGGGCCTCCAGTGCAATGCACCTCTGGGGGCCTGCCATAGACTCCAAACAGCATCCCTACCTGACACTGACACCTCAAGTACCATTGGATCTGCTGTGTCACGTGGCCCCAGTGGCAGAGCAGCCTGCACACCACCCTGGACCTGTTGCAGTCCTCTTGTTCTGGGCCCCACTCAAAAACTAGCAGCCTCCTAGGGGCCGGGGATTTAGCTCAGTGATTCCACCACCTGCCTGGCAAGCGCAAGGTTCTGAGTTGGATCCCTGGTTCCAAAACAAAACAAACAAACAAACAAAAAACTAACAGCCTCCTGAGTCACTCAGTACATGGACTGAAGTAACACACCCAACTGAGGGATGTGCTGATCCCAAATTCTGAATAGGCCCACTAAGCATTGTGCCTTTTTTGGGTTGTTAGAGGAGCCAGATTCAACAACTTATCCTTTGTCTTAAAAGAGATAAGCATGCCCCACACCACTGGACTCCTAGAAATATCACTGAGGTAGATGGACCTTGAATTTTATTTGGATTTACTTCCCATCCTCTGGCTCTCAAATGCCTTACCCTCAAGTCCGGAGTGGTTGCAACCTCCTCCTGCTCACTTGGTCCAATCAGCATGGCCTCATCCATGCAACGGAACAGTGTGATGCCTTGTGGGAGAGAAAGGTGATCAAGATCCCTGAGAACTAAGTTGTGACACAGCTTGGAGAGTTAATACACCCCTGAGATAGTAATGTGGGGTAGAAGGAATCAAAGATAGGTAGGAAAGAGATAAGGAAATCATAGGTAAGAATTGTACTTTTCATTTAAAAAATGCAAGGACTTAGCTGAAGTCACCCAAGACAGCATCACGCCAACATTTCTTGTCTAGATTGACACCTCTTCCCTACCAGACACCTCACTAAAAGGCCATAAATTGACTCAATTAAACAAGTAAGGAATAGGAGCCTAGCCCTGAGATAAGGACTGTCCCAGTGTCAACAGTCCTGGGGCAGATTTATACTCCTTCCTCCACCACACCCAGCACTAGAGGCCATAAATTGGCCCAATTAAGAAAGGAAGCAACAGGCTGAATGAATCTAGAGAATGTTTAAATCCTCTATCCAAACAAAACACAACGAAAGAAAAAAATGTAAAAACCTGATGCCTTTGACTGCATCTACCCCTTTGAGGGAGACTGGGGGCAGGGGACACTGTTATCCCTAGCTTTTCACTCCCTCGGCACAGACACAATTTTTTTCAAGTATTTTTGATGCGCAGTTGATTGAATTCGTTAAAGCCGCAGATACATTGGTCTGACATAGTGTGCAGCGGAGAGTATATAACAAGGGAGCTGGCCTAAGAATTGTTGTGAAAGTTTTATTTGAGCTGAGCACTGAAGTAGCAATGAAAAGACAAGGAAAAATGCTCTAATAAAGGCCAAAACAGTCTCCTGCCAAGGATTAACACTTTTGGTGGAGCCACTGAGCTAAATCCCCGGCCCTTTAGAGCTAACATTAAAAATGAGGAAACCTAGTTTCAGGGCCACCACAAGACATGCTATGATCACTTTGGATTTTCCTTGTTTGA